ATCCTTTTATAACGAGAGGGAGGGGACCGGTACGAAATGTCCGTTATAGCAGGATCCTCGTAAGGAATTCAGTAATAAATTCAAGGGAAATAATAAAGTAGGCCTAATCTATGAGTTTGGTGTTCTATTTCTTTTTGTTATCTCCTCTGATGATGGGTTTTGTTCAACATGACCGCTAGGTCTTACTTGATCAAAAATTGAATCAGGTTTCTTTCTCTAGCTCTAGCCATGTTGACAGCTCGGCGTTGGCGATCAGAACGAAAGGTTTTCTAGGCTAACTCGCCCGCTGTATTTTCCCCGACCCCACCACACCCTGTGGCGCTTTCCCGCATCTGGCGCACGTCACACATTCCCTCCATGATCCATCACAGCACTGTGACCTCTCCATCCCCGCATCGGAGAAGTGAGAGGCATGATAGGCCTAGATAATCTAGACTTGGCTGGCCTATCACTATCAGGCAATGCGTTGGTTCTGCTTCACAACGGCTTGTCGGCGAATGCCACACCCTCCCCACTCATTCGCTCCGGCCTTCATTGTTGGCACACATGGGCTCTCCCATTCTTTGTTTCGCTTGATTACAAACAAGTTTCTCAACTGGCGAGGTTTTACATATATCTATAATCTATAAATGGCCTATACGCTGTGCACAGCAGCAGGAATATTCCGCCATAACCGACTTGCGCGTTATCTGATTGCGCTATAGCTGTATTTTATTTACAAAGATAAAGAAGGGAAAAAACAGGGTTTTTAGAATAATGTCTTTATACTTTAAAACAGATTTCTCGTTATTTCAGGACTTGTTATAAGTGGACTCCACTGTACATGTATTAGTATTACACTCACCTCCTTTCATTATAATAAAAGATTTTGTTGATTTAGAGAAAGTTGGTTACAGATCTACATTATACGATAATAAAAGTCACAACTAGAACTAACCTAACGATACTTTTTTTTTGTAAGTGTTTTACGGCGCTCGCAACGGCATAAGGTCATATGAGCGCGCGGGGCATATTAAACATTTTCAGTTGTCTGAAGTCATTGACATTATATTCCCCTTTAACGTAAGAGTAAGCAGACTAAAACATATTACAGTGGAATCCTGTTATAACGAGAGGGGGGGGACCGGTGTCAAATGTCCGTTATAGCAAGATTCTCGTTATAAGGGACCCAGTTATAAATTCAAGGAAAATAGTAAAGTAGGCCTAATCTGCGAGTCTGGTTTTCGGTTTATTTCTTTTTGTAATCTCCCCTGAGGATGATTTGGTTCAACATGACCTTTAAGTCTTACTTGATCAAAAATCGAATCAGGTTTCTTTCTCAAACGCTAGCGATATTGACAGCTCGGCGTTGGCAATCAGAAAGAAAGTTCTCTAGGCTAGGCCTAACTCGCCCGCTGTGTTGTCCCCCACCCCACCACACCCTGTGGTGCGTTCTGTCTGCTTGCGCAAAAAGGAAACATATCACACCCCGCCCACGTCACACATTCACTCCGTCCATCACAGTACAGCACTATGACTATGACCTCTCCATCCCCGCATCGGTGAAGTGAGAGGCGTGGTAGACCTAGATAATCTAGACTAGGCTGGCCTATCACATGATGCTTTCTGCTTGTCTGTGCATGCCACACTCTCCCCACTCATTCAATCAGGCCTTCATTGTTGGCACTCGTGGGCTCTCCCATTCTTTGTTTCGCTAGATCACCAACAAGTTTCTCAACGGACGAGGTTTTACAAGAATAAATGGCCTCTGCGCTGTGCACAGTAGCAGCTATATTCCGCTATAACAGACCAGACTCGCGTGTTTGTCTGATTGCGTTATAGCAGTATTTTATTTACAAAGATAAAGAAGGGGAAAAAACGGGGTTTCAGAATAGTGTCTTAATAACAGACTTCTCGTTGTTTCAGGACTCGTTATAAGTGGATTCCACTGTAGTACAAAGCGAATGTTTTTCTTTGACTTTAACCAAACACATGGGTCCTGAAAAGGGACCTATCTGATCCTTGAAAGAACCACCCACAGTCTAGCACACACCGTGACATACATTATTGAAATCGGTGGGACATGAAAATGTTTTCATTATTGTATGTTGTTTTATTAAGGTTTTACGGAGCTCGAAACTGCATGGTCATATGAGCGCCAAGGAGTGGATGTCAACAGAAAAGTCCAAAAGTGGAACCAGGCTTACTCTGCTCACTTCTCTAGCCTCAACAGCACAAAGTCTGCTTCGACTATCAAGGCACCCCGGATCATGTATGAATTTGGCTATAACTATAAGTATAAATTCAATGAAATACAGAGGAACCTGTTTAAATCGAATCCTGCAGGACCGCAGGATTTCTTCCTATTTAGCTGGGTTTTCGGTTTAGACATGTTGCTCAAATAGGAGAAGGAAAAATAATCTGTGAATTATTTTCTTTCGGTTCACAGCTATTTTGGAACAACCATGTTCGGTTTTAGCAGACTTCACTATGACTGTTCATATGTAGCCTATGTATAGGAAAATTTTTTTGGGGCCAGACAAATCAGTTCACTAGCTGTTCGCTATACATGTGCTAGAATGGATGTATACAGTGCTCTAATAATGACATTTCAAAATAAACTACATATGATTCTTCTCCAGCAGCTTAGAAGTGACTTATTTGCTCTCATACACAGTATACTTTAACTTACTCTACCATGCCCGTGTTCTAGATGATGTTTACAGCATGGGCAGGAGTAGCAAGGCAACATTGGTGATGACTGATAATAGTAATAGTGATTATTATAAAATAACAAGATTCAGACAAATTTGTTGTGAATCTTGAAAGATTACACTAATTTACACATCAACCCACAGCTAAGACTTGGTACCCAAATCAACAATTTCAGCCATATCAAACTTTTCACACATGGCACAAGGAAAAAGGCAGGGGGTGAGATGGGAGAGACCCCTCTTTTCTAAGTAATCTTAGACATCTTGGAAAGGAAGAAGAAGATTTTAAACTCCAGATAGAGCAGGTAAGGCAGAGATAGAGTGGATAAAAATACACCATTCATGGGGACACTTCCCTCATGTATATATACATAATTATAAATATATATATGTGATTGTGACCCCCAAACAGTTTATGAAGCCAAAGCAGTCAAATACCCCCCAATTGAAGATCTATGCAACTTTACAATAACTTCCTAGGCCAGCTAGTTCACATTATTCAGCTTGCCTTTGCTCAGACCAAGCCACTGCCTGCCAGCTGTTTTTGACCTTTTTCAAAATCCAGTTACTCAGTAGGCCCACCTATTTATGATGTTAGATTTATGAAAATTGGCCAGTTTCAGTAAGAGATGTTGAGAACAGCTTTACAGAACAGAAACAAATTTGACTCTATGTTATTTTGTTCATGTTTTATATCTTTTAAAAAAAACGGCAAACTTTGGGGACTAAAACTTTTTTGGGGGGCCAAACTAGACAGTACAATATTTTTGCTGTTTTTGTGAGAGGTTTGCTGTTTCTGTTCTAAAATACACACAAAAATACATAACAAAACAAAGAAAACTAAATTGATAAAGTATATGATGACTTTGGCGAGATGCTTGAATCATTAGTCGTCGTACTAAACTCTACACCTAGTACTAGATCTAGATCTAGCACTAGCCCACTGCTGGCATGTGATCTACCCTCATCTCAAACTACCATCACTACCGTACCATTATTTTGCACTTCATCATCTGAATCAGAGCTCTTTGAATCATATAGATTCAGAACCTCTAAAATTACGAGTCATTTTCAATTCATATCTGCATGAGTATTGCGTTAGTGTTTGGTCGACTTCGGCCGCCCGACGTTCAAAACAAAACCCAGAAATAGGACAAAGGGAACTCCCGTTCCAAAAATAGGCAGAATTTCAAGGGAAATCATTCTAATAAAATGAAACTGCTCTGAGTGGTCAAAGGGATGTTACTCTAGTAATTGAGCTATGCCATTGCTGCATATGTGTCGGCAATTAGTAGAAATAAAGATGAAAATTTATACGCGACCGACAGGGGTGCGGTAGTGGCGGTGAGTGGTCGTCGCCTATTGACCGACACAGGTGCGGCAACGGCGATGAGTGAGGTAAAGCCTGTCTCTGAAAGGATCGAGCCAAGTGGGAAATTGTGTAAAGAGCCTTTCTCGAGGACACACTGTCAGACCGAGCTGAGGCTCGGACCCCTAAATCTGTAATCTCATGATTATGAGTCCGCTAGTTTAACCATTAGTCTAACGACGCCACTGCAATCTACACACTAAATTCACACTTAAGGGAATTTTGAAAGGCAAGGCATGGTATGACCTACATATCAAGAAATCGTCAACACTCAAGAATTATAATATAATCTTCTTCTTCTTCTTGATTGCATCATACTTGAAGTCCAGTATCGATCATACACTGGGCAGTCCTGCTCAATTCATCAGTTGGCCCGTACAGCTTTTCTTGTAGTGTCAATGGGGTTGGCGACATTTCCTGTCTCAGGGCCCTGTGTGTCTTACTCCGCTGAAGGATGTGTTAATATAACGAATCTGTGAAATTCTGCTCTGATTACATGCATCTCTTCTGGGTGGATTCTTTGTGCACTCACAATAGTCAATATAACGACAGTCAAACCAGCTCTAATGGCCACGTTCCTCGTGCACTCACAATAATCAAGACAAAAACTACAGTCCAACCTGCTATAAATAAAGATCATTTGTCCAAGACCAGTACAAACAACAATTTCCTCCTCGCCACCATTGTGTTCCTCCTATATTATAATAATACTAATAGTTAATAGTGGCCAAGATGTCCACCTCTAAGACAACCACTTTTCTGTTTGACAATGGGTGGCCTTCTCTTCGAAAATTTTTACTGTGTTACTGTATCAGATTACAATCAGTCAACTTTTTGTACCGGTACACAACTTTTTTGCTCGTAACTGCGGTCACCACAGATAATGCGATATTGAAACAGAAGTCTATTTGTAGTATTATTCTCTAACCCACAATTAGTTTTTTTTCGTGCCTTTTAATTTTAAAAGACAGATACTTAACCATTCTTTCACTAATGACCAACATACTTCGTCAAATGTAACATCACTGGCTACAGTACCACAGTACCGGACACTAAGTGACTCTGTTTTTAGAAAGAGTTTTACAGCACTTGCAACACAGTAAGGTCATATAAGTGCCGGAGGTGAGAGGTGTTACAAGAGAACAACAACAAACACAAAAGAAGGTGAGATAAAGACAAAAGATTTTGATAAGAAAGAAGGAGCACACCACACCAGAGCACCCGCCATCCACCCAACAAGTGACTGCTCAATATCTCTTCCAACAAATATTATGTTCATTCAAAAAAGTACAAAAACAAACCCCAACATGATTATAATAATGGTTCTTCATAAATAATCCACTTATCAGAGAAAATAAATAAGATTTCGAGAAAAGGAGGTATCTGGCGGTAGTGGAAAAGATAATAAATCGCAGAAAGGAAAATACTTGATGATGAAAAAAATCAGTGGCCACAGAGAAAAACCTCAGACTTCTGGATATAATAACATTTGTGTCTGTTCACCCAACGTCAGGTCCAAAACCCCCCCCAAAAACCCCCCAACCAACACAACACTATCTGACTTCATCCACATCGTTCAAGATCTCCGACGCCTCTTGATTGCTCGAGTTCCGTGCTGAGCTGAGAAAATCCTGATTGGCTGAGGATGTGACCGGAGCTATGGTGGCGTTGGCGCCAGACGAAGGAGGAAGACTAGTGGTCCCGTCAAACACAGACTCCAGTTCTGTCTCTGGGATTGTAGAAGATGCGAGTTGTGGAGGAGGAGCTGGATTGAACGCTCTCGACTCCTGAGACAAAGCCATGCTGCTGTCTGACTGTCTCAGCGGGGGTTGCTGCTGGGAAGGGGCAGAACTCTTTGTGCCTCTGCGCTTGCCCAAGATCGTCACGTAGTTGGCCGGAATCATTCCCGTCGTCTTCCCATCTACAGAGGCCAATAGCCAGCCTCTTACACGTGGCTGCAGCTCTGAGGACCATAGAGAGAAATTGTAAACTCTACTGCAAATTGGCAAATGAAATTAATAAGACCAATATTCGGAAAAGTGATGCAAAGGCCTACCCTTCAAGAGGGCATTTTGATAAGTCAGCCGTAGTGATATCCCCTTCCCTCTCTTTAGAAAAAAAAACAGCTTTGACAAAGCAAACTGACATCTACTTTTTTTTTAAAAACCATCATCCAATCTTAAAGCTTTTTCTCATGTGTCAAAAACGTGTGAAAATTTCATTTTGGTTGGTTTGCTACAAACTAAAGATGAAATGACAAAATTGGCTTCAACAGATTCAACTGAACCATAATGAAGACAAAATTCTAATTAAACCTGACTTCTCAGGTAGAGAAACCAATTATAAACAGCAGGGAAGGTGATTAAACTTATTATTAAATGAATATTTCTGAACCCATCAAATTCAAATTTCCCTGTGGAATAGGCACCAGTATAAATAGATTAGTTTATCCGACCAATTTTTCGAAAAAGCTGCACTACAGCACTGTTCACTATTATTACAGTGTGTCACCCGTTATGGTGCCCATTGTGTTGGGACCTGTTACTGTGCCCATTGTGTTGGGACCTGTTACTGTGCCCATTGTGTTGGGACCTGTTACTGTGCCCATTGTGTTGGGACCTGTTACTGTGCCCATTGTGTTGGGACCTGTTACTGTGCCCATTGTGTTGGGACCTGTTACTGTGCCCATTGTGTTGGGACCTGTTACTGTGCCCATTGTGTTGGGACCTGTTACTGTGCCCATTGTGTTGGGACCTGTTACTGTGCCCATTGTGTTGGGACCTGTTACTGTGCCCATTGTGTTGGGACCTGTTACTGTGCCCATTGTGTTGGGACCTGTTACTGTGCCCATTGTGTTGGGACCTGTTACTGTGCCCATTGTGTTGGGACCTGTTACTGTGCCCATTGTGTTGGGACCTGTTACTGTGCCCATTGTGTTGGGACCTGTTACTGTGCCCATTGTGTTGGGACCTGTTACTGTGCCCATTGTGTTGGGACCTGTTACTGTGCCCATTGTGTTGGGACCTGCCATTTACTAATAGTTATCGGGACCACCCACAGCAGTTAAAATAATGTGGTTTGTGAACCAATTTGTTTTTCTAATGCTCCTAAAGTATGTTAATGCATAAACTTAAAGTTATCTGCTGAAGTCTTGTAGAAAGTGCTAAATTCCTTTTTGATATTCATTTATGATCATGAAGAATGTGTGAAGCAGAAATAATGAAAACTTTCTATCATGCTTATCAGTGAATATCAGAAAATATATATATACATAACTCACCGAGGACAATCTTTTGTCCAGGGTTGTTAAAATGCTTAGCTTGTTTAAGTAAAAAACAAATTTATGTTAAATGAAATTTATGACACCTGGTTTAACTATCCAATTTGACACCATTTCTCAAACATAAACATTTCGTTTTGGTTGGTTGGTTGGTTAGGCGCTCCAACATAATTTTAACTCACTGACTACTGGCCCCTTTCACCAGTCACTAGCGCTGAGTACTGGCATTTTTGGGGGGTATTTCATAACACCACCACAACTCTCGGAACTACCCTATTGTAATTATTTTTTTACACAGCAAAGTTATTTCAAACTGAATCAATTGCAACAAATTTAAGTCGTCTAAGTCTAATACTTTAATTCTTATGATTGTTTCAAAATTGGCATGAATTTGATTTTTCGAAAAATTTCCATAGACGTGACAGATAGAATTAAATTCACAACATGACAACAACAAAAATAAAAGTTCAAAGTGTTCTGTTTTGATTTGTATCGAGTGTTTGGTGAAAATATAAAAGCTGGTCTGTGCGTTTATTCAGACCCACACACTGAATTACAGGAGACAGATATTGGGAACGAAGTTGTGATTTCATCGAGCGAACAACAACACCAGTACTTGTGCTAGATCTAGCCCTAAAACTACGACTCGGGCCGTATTCGGGTTCATATCCAGGGTTGTAACTATCAGACACATCATATCCTGAGTCACTAGAACTAGCAAAACGAACAGAAGTATCGAAAACAGCGAAATTATGTGATTCTTGTTCATGCGACCGTTATTTCGACGCGACTGTCGGGTTACTATCAGCTGTATAGAAAAAACATAGCGCGAGTTCCGGTCAGGTCAACACCAGATGAGGAGACTGTCCTTCACCTTCAATTACTTAAAAAGTTGTTGCGAAACTTCCGCCAAACTGGGCATGAAACGGAATAAGAGGCAAAACTAGCACTGGAGTCCGTTCCCGTACATGTGACGGGAGCACAAGATACGGAACAAAATCGCAAAGTCCATCCCATCGGGGGTACCATACCGGATCCGTACCTACGAACCGACCGCCCGCCCCGTACATGTGACGGGAACCGTAGTCAGTGACTTTAAAAAACAAAAAGCAATTTAAAAAAACACAAACATCTAGAGTAAACTTGAGTTTGTGTTTGGGCAAAAAAACTCAGTAATAAGTACATAAAAGGTCTATTTGCACCCACAAAAAAACAGCTGATTGTTGCTTGTTTCTTACTAATCTGATGCTAACCTTAAAAGTCTTTTTCTTTTATTACCTTCATGCTTTCTCTCTTAAAACAAAAGTGGTATTTTTGCACAGTGCATGATATCATTTATTATTTAAGAAACATACCTTTCGGAGCAATATTGATATTTTGTCCAGCAGTGAACGACAATTCCTCTTCACCCTGCCCCTGGAAATTGTAGTTAGCTCTGGCCACAAAATGGTCATCAAGGCCAGTTGTCCAGCCCTTTTCATCTGTGGATCAACAAACAAATTCTTTGGAAAAATCTGAATGAATGGAATTTCACAAATAAAACAGCAATAGGCTTTGCATTTGCAATATCTGCACAATAGAATTAAGTAAGTGCTTTGAACAAAGAACATAAGTCACTTTAATTCTCAGAAGCCTTGTTCATAACATTTTTGTCTATTGGCTGAAAACAACCGTAGAAGAAAATTGAGCTAAAATTTAAAAAATTTATGAAATACAACTTCTTAAATGTGGCTAATGATAATGATAATAAAAATAATTATTGTAGGTAGCGTAAACACAGCGCCGCGGGCACTTACAGCCTTCCGAGCGCATGGTTTCGGTGAAATCGGGGTAATTCAGATCGCTGTTACTTCGCTCTTTCGCTATCAAACACCAAATGCTGTTCACCTTGTAAAAGTTCAGCTTTTCCTTGGTACAATGGTGTAAGTTGTTTATATATATCTGATTATCAGGAGCCCCTCGGGGTCAGAATGCGTGGTCGGCAGGTTAAAAAATTGACACGCGTGCATTCAAATGCTTCGCGGAAAGATTAATGATTAAATGCCTTCTTTTCATTGGCTGAGAACTGTAGACCTATGAAAGGGATTTCCTGTGGTATACTTTTGGCCTTTGGCATTTAATTTAAAATCCTTTAAAAATACCGTCAAAGTTTTCAAAGATAATTTTTTACACAAAATATGTCAAATACCGGCTCAAAAAAGGTACCAATAGAAAGATCAGTTCATTTTCTATTAGAATAAAGTAACTGGTTTGGAATTATTTTGCATCAATCCTTCCACGAAGCTCGGAAAGCATGTGACCTCCCACGCTGGGGGCACTTGTTACACTACAGTATAGAGGCGAATCGCTAGCAACGAGGGCCGGAACGGTGCCTGCCAGGTCAACGCTAAGTGTTCTTATTGAAATAATGACAGATCATCCTGTTTGCGGCGATAAAATACTGATTTGCAATGATCTCAGTTTTGAAAAAAAATTAGGCTCCATAATAGTGATTGTACTCTGTTAATGAAACTTAATGTGGAGATGTTTGGTGCACTTGGTACTCAATTATTGTCTGTGTAACATGGGTTTGCAGCCAGTTAGCGACTTATTATGCAAATTTGACCATATTTAAAACAGCTACCATTTTCTTAAAAATTGACTGAGAGGTTTAAGAATGGTATCAACATTCTCAGGAGATTAGACCTTTCAAATGGTACAGATAAATTTGGCATACAGTTACTTTTCAAATTTAGTTTCTGGTACCTAATAATTGCATTTATAAAGCACATTTCCACGCTCTACAGCATGCTCAATGCTCTTTACAACTATTATACCCCAGCACACCCTAGAACACTCAGAAACATTTTCGGCTTCCTGGGAAGCATACAGCACAATGCTTTTATTTGCTAGCAAAGACTCACCAGGAGTGGATGAAAAGGCTGAGATGACCTTCCAGATGAGGTAAGGTCCACCCATAATAATGCCAAAGAACATGAGGATGGGCCAGCTGCTTTTCTTGGGTGCACCGTCCGGACCAGCTGCTGCCGCGGCCACTGCAGCATCCTTGAAAGCCTCCATCCACTGCCGGTCAGCCTCACCCTTCGGCCTCAGTCGCAGCAACTCCAGAAGTCTCCTTCAAGGGATCAAATGATTTTGATGAGAAAGTACGATAATTGCTGTTATATTTTGACAGAAACAGGCAGCAACTCCAGAAGTCTCCTTCAAGAGATTAAAATTTAAAAAAAAAAAAAAGGGAAAGAAAGAAAGAAAGAAAGTCAGGGTAGGGCAATTTTTGGGTCATTTGAGCTTTCGTTGAGAAAGTATAACACCAGTCTTTCAATCCTATTAAGCTATTATGAATGAATCAAATCAAAATCATTAAAGAAAAAAAGGAAAACAAATCTCAAATGAAATGACATTGCTTTTAGAAACTATATGATTTGTAGAATAAACGAAATTCATAACACATCATCTTTTTTGTTTGTTCTAAAATCCCTCAAAGAAAGGGAAAAAAACCCACATCATTTTTCATTCAATCAATGCGGCGGCTACCTGAACAGATATCTCAAAGTTCTGATGAAAGCAAGGGCAGAAAACACTTGGACAAGCTGAGTCTTCAGTCGGGAGAAATTATCTGCCACACCAATCACAGCCCGGAAAGAATTATACACCGCTTGGAATGTTGAGTCTAACATCATGCCAACTGAATTCACCTGAGGGATACAGAACAAAGTGAAAAATATAAGAAGTAGAAGAAATGAACTTGTTTCTATCGTCACATTTAGGAATTATCTAGATCTACACCCGAAGAGCAGGGAAAATTATAAGAACTTGCAATCCAACAGAGTAGTTAAATCCTGCATAACCATACCAATCCAATTTAAAACTAAAGATAACATTAAAGTAATCTCTTTAAGTAAAAGCATAAAAGACATCTAGGTAGAGGTCTAGTCGAGGTCTTTATTTGGAAATTACTTGACCTACCATGAACACCAAAAGTCTCCACTCTCTGTTGGGGCCAACATAGATGTTGCTATGATGTTTAGCGTGAAAGATGAATTCAATATTTATATTGAAAACAAGAAGGGAAATCTTAACTAGACTTTTACCAACATTTACATCATGACACAACTAAATGCATCATTTAACACTTACAGTGCTTGCCAGGCCTTAGTATGCGCTCACTACCGCTGGCGACTTTAGTCGCCGACGCGACCAGGCACACTAAACATAATTAAACAACGAACGGATGCATTGCACTGAAGTAAATATGAAAGGAAGTCACTTCATATAATAGCTGAATAATTGATGAACCTCTTTGAATTTTTAAAGCGTGTTTCTTGGGCTGGCAAGGTTTTTTTAATTTAAAAAAATTCTAAAACGGATTCAGCGTTCTAAACTGGTGCAATACTTGATGGTTTTTCACTATATATGATTTATGAGCCTTTGGTACTGAGTACTAATCCAAAACAAAAATGTGTTTTCAAAACATTAATTCTTTTAATGATGCATAATAGAGAAGTATTGGAAATTGGACCTCATGTTTTTCTCAAGGACAGAACCTTGTTCTAACCCTTTCAGGAATCAAACCCACAACCTCTCTTATTCTTAAGTTTGCAAGCCTGAATATGACGACTAGGAACACAATCATAAACAACTAAAAATGCCTCTATCATGGTACGTCACATTCTATAAAAAAGACCCCATTCATCCGATAGTTCATGACACCACAGGCCCAATGTTTATACATTCCAACACGTGCACAGCCACAAAATGTACTTACCGCTGAAACAATGCTTTCTATTGACTCAAAAGCTGGTCTTGAGCTCTCCTCTGCATGCCTGGCAAATGAACTGTTCATATCGTTGCCCATTCTGTTGTAGCCATAAGATCCGTAACTTGAATACGGTGAATTGTACATTCCTCCATACCCCCCAAATCCCATGGGACTGGAGTAGCCACCATAACTGCCGTAACCACCAAAACCAGAATAGCCATACCCTGTGCCCAGGCGGCTGTTGAGAGAGCTCTGTTGCTGTGACGGGCGAGGTGGGAGTTGGGGAGGGTCGGAAGAAACAGCGGAGATGGGAGAAATGCCGCTGCCTGCTGCTCTCTGGACACTGTCCAAGCTGGACACTCTGTGGAAAAACCATAAAAACCCATTTTTTCATGTTATGATAGGGGAGGTAAGCAGCTTTCCAGAGAGTTTTATCTCCCTTCCCCGCGAAACAAAGTCATTCTCTTACTACCTGCTGCACACAGGAAGTGGGGGGAAAAAAACTGGATAGGGGAGGTGGCGGGTGTGTGTGTGTGCGTTTAGTTTTGGAATCCTTGTTGTGTCACATGTTTTGAGAATGGTAGACCAAACTGCAAGCGAACAAAGAAAAAAAGAAAAGGGGTAGACAGTTGGCTAAACTGTAGGCAAGAAAAAATTTAAAAAATGGGCAGTCAGAGAGGAGGAAAGATGAAAAGACCCAAAATATCAAACCACATCTGCTGGATTGTGTAAAGGGAAGTTGAAATAAAGCAAGGAATAAAGAGGGAAAACTGGGATTTGAATTCCTTTCTTCTTAGCCTATAAATATAAGAAAATTATCTGTGATTAGTCGAGAGCAGGGGTGGGGGGTGTTATTATGTAGAGTTTTTCCTTGATTTTCTTTCAGTTTGTATCCTCTGGTTAAATACCTGAGACGCTCACTGTAGTGCAGCGAAGCACCAGCAAAGGCCTTACACCTGCACTGGGTACTTATAATTTGTTTGCATTCTAAACTGCTTGTTCAACATATTTTTTAAATGTCACACTGAGTTAACCAAATCATGCTTGCATTCCTTATAAATTTTACTAGCTAAAAACAATGCGATAAATTCCTGCATGTAGTTTGAGATATAATATATGTATCTGGTGAAATGACATAATATTGTCAGCTTTTATTTTCTCTTCTTTTTTAAAAATCCTCTAATAGCAGGTACATTTTTTTTATCATTACCCGCATACACAGAGATGCAGTATTTTCAGGGACCAAACCTACACTATGTAATTTTGGTTGTGAAATACACTAAGTTAGTGTGATATACTGGCCCCCCCAGGAAATCGCAGTCTTGCGGCTGCACTTGCGGCCGCGTTTTTCGTCGAGTTCCGCAATAAACCCGCAATTTTTTGCAATTTTCGCAATTCCTTGCAATTTTAGGCAAAAATACATCAACGCTTTAATTTTATCAGAATTTTCAATACGAAATGGTGCGAGTACAGAGCCGATAGACCTATATAAATCATGGTATCAGCCCAGCTCAAGCCTACTGAGCGTAGGCCTACTCTAAAAGCTATAAAACCGGAAATTCAGGCCGGAATGCATCATGTACAACACAAACTGAGACATAGGCTAGGCCGAGAAGATGGCCTTCTCTAGGCTAGGCCTTTATTTAATTTTAATGTGTGTAAGCGTGCGCGTTGTCAAATAT